CGTCTCCAGAGCACACGAGGTGCCGGTCTCCCCGTAGCTTTACACGAGAGGGTAGCGTTTTCACCCTCCAGAACGGATACTTCGCCTTCCGATGTGCCGGAACTAAGTATATCCGGCGGAACTGTGAACAGAGGGAAAGAAAGAGAGAGGAGGAAACAAAGAGGAAAGAGTTGTATCGAAAAATTTCGGACGTAAAAATCCGGGGGAGGGGATGGATAGGTCTGGAATCCGGACCCTTCTCGATTTGAAATCAAGTCAAAANCGCCTATACAGTGGAAGAGACCAGGGTCGGGACCAGACGCACGGAGAGAAAGAGAGGGTCGGGTAATGTACGGTTGGGTCGCGTTGTACCCTGTACACAGGGGGAGGAAGTCGAGGGAAGTAGGAATCGGAGGATGGTGCGGGTGGAACGAATAGAGGCGAGCCGGGCGAGCAACACGAGGTATGGTGTGGTACGGGGTTGTACAGGGGTCCCATTGAAACGTATTCTAGCGGCGAGGCGCGCATATTTTCCATCCCTTCTCGAGATAGGCTAATCGAAACCGGTGCGTGCGTACGTGACGTGTGTGCATACGAGCGACCGCAAACACCCGACTGTATCTGGCCGTAGGAATGCGGTATAACGCGCAATTAGGCATACCTAGGACATCCACGCATCCCAGCTGGCTCAACATAGGCTTCGTGTTCAGCTGGCACATGTAGCATCCCCGGTCAGCTTCCCGAAGTTGGCGGATGTGAAGCCGCGAGGTGGCCTCCTCCTCGTCCCTCCACTCGCTTTGATTCTTCGACTTTGCGCTCTCCAACGTGACCAAGAATCGGGGCGAGTGAGTCACCGTTCGCTGACCCAACGACAGTATCGTTTTATCCTCCACCCGAATCCATCCCACCTGAGGCAATCGTTTCAAAAAATTCCATTCAATACGATAATATTATAATATATATATATCTATCCTAATTGCGTTAATATTAGATACATCCAACAGATTTACGCGTCCCGAATAAACGCACACGTGCGCGATCCCCTGTATACGCGCCTAGTTAATTATATTGACGTTTCTATTCAAATACGTATAATGTTATTTATATACGAAACGGGTGTGGGGAGATGTGGTTAAATGCAGCAGCATTAGTGACAAAGCAGGGGCAAACGGACCGATGGTAATCTAACGACGTAAACAATTTTCCAGCCAATTCGAATACCATTTATCCATCCCTCTCTTTCTCCTTTCTTCCTTCTCTCTGTCTCTTTTTATTCTTTCTTTTATTCGTTCTTCAAAGAACGAATTAATTCGCGTATATATCCGAAAAAAAAGCGAATAAAGAAGCGAAGGACGACGGTGAGTCGAGTGATCGACTCGGTCGATATAGGAGGACGCGTGTTTATGGGCGGCGAGCCGATATATCGGGGACCGATAGGTGTTGGCGCGTATAGGGCCAACGGTATAGCGGTAATTGGTTTTAGGGAGGAGTTGCCACCGCGGGAATCAAACGCCAGCGAAAGGTTCAATTTAACGTCGTCGTATCGCTCGCCCCTCCCTTTCCCCCTTCTCTTCCCCGCATCTCCTTATCTATAACGCCGCACTTGGTAATTAATCCGAGGCCGAGTGTCGTAGCGCGCACATGCCCCGTATGCCTAGGTATGCGCCCGTATGGGTCGGGTTACACGATGTCACGCGGCACCGACCGCATTCGTACGCGCGCCCCCCCCTCTCCAATTCCCTCGTTGCCACTCGGTGAATCGGTTAACGCGTTCGCCGTTCTCAAGGCGTGCGCAGATATTCCGCGAAATTCCCCTTGTTCTCTCTATGACACACGGTCTATGTATCTACTACCTTCGATCGATCCCCTCTTCCCCCCGAGATACAACGAGAGCCCCTCCTCTCGATCGAATTAGTCGTGTAATCTCTAATCTTTGAATCCACGTCGAAATCATCGCTTCATCAGTTTTCGCACATCTGTTTCTTTCTTCTCGATTATAAATCTAATTATTATTGTGCTTCTTTTTTTTCGGTCGGATAGATACCGTTTATCGATTCCTCTGACTCGTCGAACTCGTCCAATTTACTTCGTGCATTGTCGTTTTCCAAATTAAAATTTTCGGCTTCGAATCTTTTCGCACGTTCTCTACCAACGACGCGAATAATTTCTCGGCGTTCGAAATCGTTGCACGGGACTGGAAACTGATTAGAGCGATCTTCGCGACTCTTCTTAACTCTTTATGCAGGCGATTATAGTTCGCTCTACGTAAAATGTCATTGATACACTATGGACGATTATAGTCGATCTACGTAAAATATCATTGATATACTATGGGCAACTATAATTTCTTCATGAGATGCCGCGTATCATATATATGATGAGCGACTCGAGTTATTATATTATCGAATATATTTCTCTGGAATATAGCATATTTTGT